AGGAAGAGGAAGAACCTAGAGAGGTACATGGGAGGTGCAGACAACAAAAATGAACCCTTTTGCACATACAGTACTGCATTATCAGTGAAGGCAAACATGGGTATACAGGTGGATACATGGGTGGAGAGGCTGAACTATTAAGTATGCCTATGTAGTGGGGAGTATACCCAAGACCATGTATAGGGTTGGCAGAGAGTGTTTCTACAAGTGTATTTGTACGTTCTATAAGAATTCCCAGGTGTATAGTAGAGCTGACAAGGGACAAGGTTGTAGTCACTTCTTGTCACAGCCAGCTACCCAGAGGGAGCGAGTAGGCTCAGGACCATAGTCAGAGAGGACATCAAGCTCAACTGGCATAACATACTACACAAAATATTGTTCTACCTCCTACTTTGGTGAGTAGCGACTGGAATCTTAAAAGCTTGCAAGCAGCCACCTAGATGCAACAATGGGTCTCTCCTTGTCCAGAGCAAAGAAAAATGAAGAAAACCAAAGATTCATGGAAACAATTAGTCTTAGTGACTGGTACACCATGTTATCCACAGCCTATACGACTATAAGACCAGAAGAACTAGGTGGTGCCCAGCTGCAACTGTCAACCACTCGGAGGGGGATCCATGTAGGAGATCCTGGATAGAGAGGGAAAACAATGTGGAACAAAAAAAATCTTGGGAAAAGAAAAAATGGTGGGGGCAGGTTTGCTGGTGTGATAGAGCCTGGTGGAACCACTGAGACTATGGCCCCTAGCTGCCCTTCACATCTGGAATTGAACCTACACCTGTGGCTTCCAGCCAAACAAAAGATAGGCATATGAGGTGAACATTTACCTGAGGCGGATACACTCCTTGGAGAGAACACTCATGGGAGAAAGAAGGACTGTTTTTGCACAGGGAAACAGCTTAGGGGGCAGGAGTGTGTGGAGGGATGGACACAGAGAAGAGATAACTATCAGGAGGAAGTGGGAAGGGAGCTGTTGCATTGGGGTAAATTGTAGTCAATGTCATGAGATAAAGTATATGTGAACAGCTGTATGGAAAGTGAATTTCCTTTGTAAACATTCACCCAGATCACAATTAAAAAAAAAAAAAAAAAAGCATTAACTTAGCTGATCTGACTTTTTACTTTGATGACCCAGAGAATGGCACTTGTCAGTAACCTGGAGTTTTCAGACACTGAGAGACTGCACATGAGGCTAAGGTAGACATCAGCATACCAATTTATCAATTCCAGGAAGAGTGATAATAACTATCGAAACCATAAAACAATAAGGTTTGTATAATAAATGTGTGATCTCCTTTAATCAAGCTACATGTGAAATGAGGAAATAATTAAGTCCCTTCATTGATTTACTCTGATGAATCACCTCACAAAGACCTTAAATACTTCATGTCTGTACTGTAAGCCAATTTTCTATATGAGAATCAGAAATTTGCTTGCAGAACTGGACTCAGAATAGTGGCAGTTTAAAATTGCCAGCGTCATTGTTGTTAGTTGCCATTGAATTGGTTCTGATTCATAGTGAACCTTTGTACAAGAGAGAAATATTGCCTGGTTCTGTGCCATCTTCACAATAGTTGCTATGCTTGAGCCCATCATTGCAGCCACTGTGTCATTCCATCTTGGTAAGAGTCTTCCCCTTTTTCACTGACCTTCTACTTTACCTAGCATGATATCCTTCTCCAGGGACTGTTGTCTTCTTAAAACATGACCAGAGTATGAGAAATGAAGTCTGGCCATTCTCATCTCATTCTCATTTTGGAAGCACTTCTGAGACAGATTTGTTCATTATTCTGGCAGTACCAGGTGTTTTCAGTATTCTTCACCAACACCACAATTCAAATGCATCAATTCTACCTACATCTTCCTTATTCATTGTCCATCTTTTATATGCATATGAGGCTATTGAAAAAACAATGCTTTGCACCAGATGTACCTTAGTCTTCAACTTAACATCTTTATTCCCCCAAAATTAAAGGAGGTCTTTTGCAGCTGATCTGCCCAGTATAATAGTCATTTGATTTCTTGACTGCTGCTTCCATGCATGTTGACTGTGGGTCCAAGTAAAATGAAATCCTTGACAACTTCAATCTTTTCTCCATTTATCATAATGTTTCTTATTAGTCAAGTTATGAAGATTTTTGCTTTATGTTGAGATCTCATCCATAATGAAGGCTGTAGTTTCTGATCTTCATCAGTAAATGCTTCAAGTCTTCTTCACTTTCAACAAGCGAGCTTGTGTCACCTGCATATCTCCAGTTGTTAATGAGTTTTCCTTCAATCCTGATGCCACGTTCTTTTCATGTAATCCACCTTCTCAGATTATTTGCTTAGCATAGAGCTTAAATAAGTATGGTGGAAGGATAGAACCTTGAAACATAACTTTCCTGATTTTAATCCATGTATTATCCCCTTGTTCTCTTTGAAGGACTGATTCTTGGTTTATATACAGATTCCTCTTGTGCACAATTAAGTGTTCTAGAATTCCCATTCTTCACAATGTTATCCTTAATTTGTTATGATCCACACAGTCGAATGCCTTTGCATAGTAGTAAAACACAGGTAAACATCTTTCTGTTATTCTCTGCTTTCAGCCAAGATCTCTCTCCAGGATAAGATTTATTATATACAGTTTGATATATCATTTTGGTGATGGGTATGATGCTGCCAGTGAGATTAGCTTTCACCGAGTGCCTTTGAGTTGAATTCGACTCATAATGGCCCTATAAGACAGAGTAGAACTGCCCCATAGGGTTACCAAGGCTGTAAATCTTTATAGAGGCCTCATCTTTCTCCTGTGGAGTGGCTGGTGGGTTTGAACAGCTGATCTTTTGGTTAGCAGCCAAATGCTTTAGCCACTGTGACATCAAATCTTCCTCTGTTAGCTACAGCCTTTTATGTTTCTCTCCATTCTTAGCATATACCAAGCACTAGACCTTGATAATGGATTAAGAAATAGTTAAAACATCCTTCAAATATGATGGCCAAATCTACTTCTTCAGACATGCTTACATGGTAGCTGCCAACATTTTTACTCTTTCCCTGTTTTTCAGCTAATCAACCCTTCTTCCTATGAACATTTCTATGTGAACACTGTTTAAAATATTTAATCAGTTAATTGTCAAATATCATTACTCAAAACTCACTGCTGTCAAATTGGATCTCTCTCATGGCAACCCCTCCTCAGGTTTCTGAGGTGGCATCACTATGGAAGTTGATCACCCAATCTTCCCTTCGAGGCGTGGCTGGTGAGTTTGAACCTCCAGTCTTCTGGTTAGCAGTCAAATGCCTTAGGCACCGCACCAGTGCATATTTCTCTACTGGGAGACTTGCGTTCCCTTGTTGGTTTTAAAGTTTAATTCATATAAGGCAGTTTTATTTCTTCATTTTGGTGTTTTATTTATTTTTGCAGGGGTGGGTAGGTGACACTGTCATTTTAATGTTTGCTAATCAAACGTCAACTATTATTTATTAAGTGTATGTTGTGTTAGGTACTCTACCTATTATTTTTCAAATGGTGTACAGCTACTCCTCAAACAGCTTTTTGAGGTAGCTATTGTATTTTATTTTAAAAATAAATAAGTTGAGACATAGAGATTAAATTGCAAATCTAATAAATGACAGAATCTGTATTTTAATTCATACCTATTTGATTTCAAAGCTCTTGTTTCCATTGCTTTTTGTTTTTTAATATATTATTTTCAGTTTTAGAATACACTTTTCCTTTGAAACTTCTAACACTAAGAAAAGTGTAATTTAACATATAATAAATACAACACTGATTAGAGGCATCTCTTTGGGGAACACATTTTAAATTAAAAAATTAATGATAAATATATAAAGGAAGTAGAAATAATTGTCTCTCCCATCCCTCTGGTCTAGAATAAGTGTGGATGATTCTGTAAATCCTCTTGTTTATTGAGCAAAAAGTGCAGTTTTTTCAAGGTAAAGCAAGTTATAAATATTACAAGAGAGTTTTGCTTTTAATGAAACATTTTAACTCATTTCTTCTTTTATGTAAAACTTTTCATGAAAGGAAAATAAAGTTTCTATTTAAATAAAAATATGTGCCACATATTTTTAACTTCTGATAATATTCTGAATCAGAATCAAGTACGAAAATATGCTTAAATTCTTATTCAGTTATCTAAGCCCATTGTCATGTAGGCCTTAGTTCATCAAAACAAAACATCCCTGTGTTTTTCTCCTCTTTATTTAAGCATTCTAGAGAGGAATAACTGTTCTGAGAATTCACATGTAAATAGTCTTTTGTAGGATTGTGAAAATGGAATTGAAATACTTTTACCTTCTCACCATTTTTACTAGCTTGCAACTTTTACATTAAAACTTAAATGTCAAAATTAAGTGATGTTGTAGGTAACAGAAAGTGAATTCTCAAATTTTTCAAGATTAACAGTGATTACAACATTTATTAAATTCTTAATAAGTTTAAACAAATATCAAACTCTTGTCAGTTGTTCTGAGACTTGCATGTAACAAAAATTTCTACATTTCACGTGATCTTACTTTTAATAAAATGCAAATGTGTTATAATTGTAATCATTTAGTTAGTTAGTTTATTCTTTGATGAAAGAAATTTTAGTTCCCTTCTTTCAACTGCCAACATTATTTGCTATTCATAGATGTTCTATCTTCAATAAAGTCTATCAAAGTGTAAAACTAGATGGGTATTTTTCTTTCCAGTAAAATAGAATTGTCTTTCATTATGCAGTGTTCTTAGGTGAATCTTCTTGTTTAAGAAGCCAGAATACAAGAGAGTGCTATATTAGTGTATTATTCTCACAACAAACAAGCACTGTTCTGTTGCTACCTGCTTGGCCATTGTTTCTGATTGTGTGTGCTTTGCAGTGGTATTTGGATGGTTTCCTGCTCTCTGCCAGCACAAAAAGGCATTTCTGTTACAATGGCCCCTAACCACACAATGACGGCATTAAGGATTTATGTGGAGGTTTCATTATTTTCTCCTCTTTTGTTCCTTCCAGGATGTCTTCCAAGCGGCCAGCCTCTCCGTATGGGGAAGCAGATGGAGAGGTAGCCATGGTGACAAGCAGACAGAAAGTGGAAGAAGAGGAGAGTGACGGGCTCCCAGCCTTTCACCTTCCCTTGCATGTGAGTTTTCCCAACAAGCCTCACTCTGAGGAATTTCAGCCAGTTTCTCTGCTGACGCAAGAGTCTTGTGGCCATAGGACTCCCACTTCTCAGCACAATACAATGGTAGGTTTCTCATGGTCCATTGTGCCTACACTTACTTTTTGACCAGTGTACTCCTCTTATAGTTTGGCTTCAGTCCGTTGCCTTATAATTAACATCTACTTAGTAGTCATACACAAAATTCACTCCTGGCATCTTAGAATTCTTTATAAATTGTTTCCAGTAGGAAGTATAAAATATAATATTTCCTTTTTTTCCCTATGTTTCTTTTTTATTTTTAAGAATCCTGCTCTTGAGATACTTAAAATGTAATTCAAAGGGAAAGCTGTATGAAAAGTAAGGATAATGTTAAAATAACACATTTAAAATTTGTCAGCCTGAAAGTTAGATGTCATACTGTGCCTCATAAAGGTTTTTCCACATACAGTTACAACAACATAATTTGAACATTTCTACCATGATAAATCAATCGTTTCCTATTTTTTTTCACACAATATTTAATTCCAGTCTTCCTTAAAGTACTTAGGATTCTGCAGAAAAGAGTTCCATAGAGCCTATAGTTTTCTAAAGTGACAGCACTAATCTCTAATTCAATCCCATTCACACTTGTTTTGACAAGTCAGTAATTTCTTGGTGCACCCTCTTCCAGAATGTGCAATCCAGGACAATGGTTCTAGACTCTCATCCTGGAATCAGCAGAAGATTAGGAAGCTGTGGTTTCCCAAGTGAGAAGGGAAAAAGCAGGATAATGTCTTTGAAGCTTAACCAGTACACACACACAGTATGGCTTTGAGGTTTTCCTTAGGAACTTAAGAGCGATAGAATCAGCATGTTGAAAGATAGCTGGTACTTATCTGCTAGTAAAGTCACCTTCACGTTTTCACCATGGCTGCTTGGGTTGGATGTCACATTTTTCTTCTTCAAGGCTACCAGTGTTGTTAATTTGAACCACATTTTCACCAACATAGGAATGTTTCATCACACCTTCTCATACCTTCAAAAATGGCTGTGGTTCTGTTGAATCAATTTTTTTTTCTTTCTCTGGGAAATTATTATATATCATAAATGTGTTTAGTACTGAAATATGCCCACTTGTTCATGCTATTATGTCACATGTTTAACATGTTTAATTCATGTATATAGAATTAAATCAACAAGGTGAATCAGATATATTCCTGTAGGTGTAGAATAGACACTATTCTTTTTCATATTAGATTTAAATACTCCAGTTAACCATTCTAGCCTTTTAGATCAAAATTTCTTGGGACATTTGCCTACATGCCAAAATTTTTCTACTAAGAATAATGATTTAAAAAGGGGACAGGTTTGCTGGTCTGAGAGAGCCTGTGGAACCACTGAGACTATGGCCCCTAGCTGCCCTTCAGGTCTGGAATTGAACCCATACCTGTGGCTTCCAGCCAAACAAAAGACAGGCATAGGAATTGAACATTTACCTGAGATAGATACACTCCTTGGAGAGAATAATCATGGGAGAAAGAAGGGCTGTTTATGCACAGGGAGACAGCTCAGGGGGCAGGGGTGCCTGGAGGGATGGACACAAGGAAGAGGTAACTATTGGGAGGAAGTGGGAGGGGAACTGTTGCATTGGGGTAAATTGTAGTAAATGTCATGAGACAAAGTGTATGGAAAGTGAATTTGCTCTGTAAATTTTCACCCAGATCGCAATTTAAAAAAAAAAAAAAAAGAATAATGATTTACCTAACAGATATGTATCACTGCCTATATATGGGAGGTGGTGTTATAAATACTTTACATATATTAACTCATTTAACCTTCATAATAATTAAATGATGTGTTAAATCCCAATTTATAGATGGGAAAATGGGTCACAGAGAGGTCAAATAACATCCTTCAGAACACAGCTATGAAATGGAAACCAAGTCAACCCAGGCAGTCTGGCTTTGGAATCCCAAACTCATAAACCTTATATAATGCTGTTTTTCCATAAGAGAGCAGAGACATATTTTGTTTTCTGATTATCTGTTATTTTGCAAGCTGAGTAATAGTATACATAATTCCTCTCTTTCCTTCCATTATGATTTCATTTTAGTTAAGTAACAATGATGTAGCTCTTGGCTTCATCTCAATAAAAATGTAAAAAGAAAAGGGAAAGATAAGTGTGAGGAGGTTACCCTCTCCATTTGACATTGCACACCACTGTTAAAACCTTTTCCCTGCTCAATATTTTGACTGTTTTCTTCTCTCAAAGAGTACACTACTGAGAATGCACCTTGATTAGGTTTTTCTGGGATAGTGTTATCAGTATAAACATACTGATTTGAAAGAGAAATTATTTTAAGTATACACAAGAATATATATGAGAAAAGTGTACTAAATTACATATTTTAGTTGACATGAGGGGAGGCTGCAATACAGGTAATTAGCAAAAATAAAACTAGTTAGATTTTAGTGGAGAATTCAATTAATTGGTTACTGTGTACCAAGGTTTTGATGAGCATGTTGGAAGTAGATTTGAGAAAACAATCTCTTTCCTCAAGGGCCTCCATCTAGAGCAGAAGTTCTTAACTGGAGGGCTATGGATCTCCTGAAAACAAATAGAAAATCCTGCATATATGAGCATATCTCATGAAGATTATGGTTTTCATCAGAATTTTAAATAGGTCTGATATTGGAGAAGTTAATACACTGGAGAAAAATGATTCACTTTAGTTTTAATGTCATCATTAATACTTCTTCATACTACATGTCTAGTGGGTTTCTAAATTTGTTTCTGCCTCAAATGTTTCATGATTCCAGCTGCCTTTAATCTCTTGAGTAGATGGTTGGAAGAGTATCTATATGATTGCAAATTTACACCCTTTCTAATCTTTCCTTCAGCTTACACTAGTTTCCCTGAGAAATTAGTTGGATTGCTCACCTTTCTTCAAAATTTATATGCAGTCTTTTTCTCTATTGGATTTAGTCCAAAACTACTTATATTGGCATAAAATCCTATGCAGACTATCACCAAGCTATAGCTTTAGTGTTCTCTCTTCAGTGTCTTGTTCTGCTATGGACCCAATGCTCCAGTTATGCCAAATTGTTCCTATATGTTCTCGAACATACTAGATGACTTTTGAATGACCCAACTGTATTCTGGCACCCGGTGAACTGTATTTTCATATTTCATCTTTTTTGGGGCAGTCATGTTTCTCCAACAAGCCTAGGTTTAAAAATTGCTTCATAGAAAATATTTTCACAGACTTCTCAAGCTATAATGATTGCTTTATTATTCTTTTTTCCATGACACTTGTTTATATCTTTTCTACTGGTGTCCATAACTTACATGTTTATATATCTGCTTTCTTATACACTGTATTTCTCCTTGAAGGCACAACCATCTGGATATTTGTATTTCTAGTGCCTAGCAAAAAATTGACAATTCATGATTTTTGACTAAATGACTGAGTTTATATGAATGAGTAAATAACAATATAGTTTGGGTAAAGTTGTTAAAGAGACTAATTCATGCTGACTAATTTGGAACTAAAATAAAACCTCCTAAAATAGTATATTCAGAAAATAAGAGGTATATAATGCTAGTCATATTTAATTATTAAGCTGATTAAGATATTTTACCCATTTATTAAAATGACTGAATATGTTTATTGTATTATTATTCAATAGGAATACTTTCTCCCTTTTTTTGGATACTAGGCTATTGTCATAGTCACATAATAGTTCCTTTATTTCAGTAGGGAAATACATTCTCTATTTTACTCTTATTCAATCTCGTTGAAAACAGAGAAGATGTTTCCTAGTCTTTATTTCATAGAGTTCAATTTAAGAAAAAAGAAAGATATATTTCATTGTCTATTTCTGTGTGTCATTCATTTTCCATTCTCAAATAAAGAAAGGAGATGTTGGGAGTTCTGGATATTATATTGCCTCACAGGTCAAAGCCTAAGTAAAACTGAATGACCCCTATAATTCTGGCTTTAAATTACAGAGAGATGATAACAGCATAAAACTTAATTTGGGAAACGTTTCCTAAAGTACTCACTGGTGTTAAGTTTGATCCGACTCATAGTGACCCCTCCTTTGGCTTCTGAGCTGCTTTCACTACAGAAGTAGATTGCCCAACCTTCCTTCTGAGGTGTAGCTGGTGGGTTTGAACCACCGGCCTTCTGGTTAGCAGTCAAATGCCTTAGGCACTATACCAGCAGAGCATACATCATGACTTTTGCCCTGGAAAGATTTTGAAAATTCCTTTTTCCTTGTTTATATTATGGATTTACAAGTGTTAAGGACCAGGATTCGATTAGATAAGGTGATAATTTTTCCTTTTTGAGGTTGTGTTTATTCGCTCAGTATTTCAGAAAAAGAAACTAAGTGCCTAACTGAGAGCAGTTCCCAAACAGCTGTAACTATATGAAAGCTACAAGTCCCTCTATTTCTGGAAGATTTTACTCACTGTTCGGAGTGCAATAAGGATAAACTGTCCTAAAACAATTATATATGGGTCATCAAATACAGCAATATTTCTAATCAGTATGAAGTTGAGGCACAAATTTTTCTTAAGTCTATGAAAAAGACTGATTCTGTTGATTCCTTTGATGCTCTCATAACTTTGCCAAGCAAGTAATAGCAACATTTGATCCTGTTCAGATTTCAGTTAGCAGATGTGAAGGTTTGATTCTGACATGAGTGGAAAGGCTGTCTTCAGCTTTATTCTTACAGGAGGTCAAATATCCCCCTCTTTTTCTTACAAAAGTTTGGAATCAGTCACTTCAGAGTATCAGAGACAAGCAAGAATCTACCATTTCTGGCTCATTATTAATTATAATTCTAATATAGATGGAGTTATTTGATAATGTCAAAGGACTATCCAGAACATGCCCTCATGTCAGTAAACGTGAGCATTTATGTGTACCAGAAGGGTGTAGATACTTCTGAACAGAAATCAAGTATCACCATCAAGGAACCCTATGCTTGGCTGTTTTGGCAATAATTTTCTGTCTGGTTGTGTGCTACTTCGGTTGGTTAGATTGTTGTTTCAGTGTCAAATGTGATGTGAAATGAAAGTCTTAACCACCTGTGGT